TCACTGCTGATCTCAAGCATGTTTGTCACTTTAGATTTCACCTTCAAACCTCATATACCCATGCATATATCCCTCACGCAGGTTTGTTGTGTCTTGGGTGGGAATAAAAATTACCACTGGCTGAACAGAGTCTTTCCTTGTCTCTAGCCTCTGGAAAGCCTGCTATTCCTGTTTCTTTTAGTTCTGATCAAAATATAGTATGTATGTATAATCTTACTGCACATAAAACATGCAAACACTGTTATGCTTTTTGGAGTGGTGTCGTGCGTTGTGAGATGAACCTATATTTGCTGGCTGGGGGCTACCTGCATATGTATTCTGCTTGGCTCTATATATGCTTTTAATACTGCCTAAGAGTAAGCAAGACAGAGATGCCAGTCCAGTCCACCAAAAAAGTTTGGTAGCATCTTTTTATTCTTTCAATTTGCAGCAAAGTAAAGGTTAGGTTAGTGTTAGGGAGGCTGTTTAAAGCAGTAAGACTATTTGGATTGAAAACAGACCATCCAGGAAAGTTGTAGAGTCTTTGTCATGGATGGTTTTAAGAAAAGAAGAGTTTAAAAACCCCTGCACAACTCATATAGAGGTTGCAGTCGATCCTCCCTTAGAACAAAGGACAAGATCCAACACCTTGTAAAGACAGTAAATACTTCTGTGTTGGCTGTGCAGAACCAAGCTGCACTTCTGAACTGGTGGTAATGCCCTTGGCTGGTGTGGAAGTAAGGGTTTAAACTAAAGAACTGCCTTGGGGACTCTGGTCCTGTCTCTGCAGTGCAGTATCTCATCTTGCGTAGCCACTGATGACAGACCCATGAGTAACCAAGAGATTACAAAGTCCTCTGTCCCCCGGCATAATCTCCACATTTGTGGCAAACAGCTGTTGAGAAACTTTCTGAGATGAAGATTGCACATGCACCATTGTGTTTAATAGTTACCAGTGTCCTTATCCTCCAGGAATTTGTCAGATCTCTTTCTGAAATTATTTGTGCTCCTGGCCTCCAAAATGTACCACGGCCATGGGCTCCACAGCTTCATTATATGAGGTGAGATTTGGTTTTGGCTGGCAGTTTCTCTGAGCATATTCAGCTAGTGTCTTCTGAGAAATCCCAAGTAATTGCTCCCCTCCATGTCAGGCACAAGTCTACATATCTCTTACAGACTTCCAGTACACAGAGGCATTGGGACTGCAGGAGGAAAGTCGGGAAGTGTTTTTGAGCTCAGTGGGAAGTTGGAGGTGCTGTTTTTGCACAGCAGAGGAATACAGCTGGGTGGTTGCCCCTGGCTAAGCAATAGTCAGCTGAAATATAGGGGCAGCCCTTTTTTTTGGTGTTTGCAAGAGGAGAAGCTGATTAGCTGAATCTTGCCTCTCTGTGGGGCAAGAGCTCCTGCTAAGTCCTTGCCAGGGGTCCTAATTCAGCTTGTTGCTGAAATCAGCAGGATGGAGCTGATGAGGGAAAAAGCGGGTGATGTGGCATCCGGCTGCCACGTGTTCTTCCCTCCCACTCATGCTGGAGGCACCACCAGGCCTCCCTTCCAGCTGGCAAGCCGGTGGCCTCATTGCATCACTCATTCCCACTGCTTTTAGAGTGGTATGTGTTTGAGGAGCAACACCAGAGTCATCTCCCTGAGCCTGCTTGTCTAAACAGTTGGCAGCACTCTCCCAGTGGCCCTGCAAGGACTATGCTACCTGATGCCAGCGTTCTGTTCCTTCTTTGACGGGTGTCTTCTTTGCAGCAGGCTGTACACATGGTGCAGCCCAAAAGGCTCCTGTGCCAGGGATGTGCATTTCACATCTGCTTTACTGGTACAGGATTACAGCCTTGCTTTGTAAATTAACCCCCTGTGATTAGAAACATTAGTACTCCGACTTCCCCAGCAATATAAGCAAGGCCCTCATCAGGCTTGCGGCTGGTTCCTAGCAGTTGGAGATAGCACTGGGAGATCCTGCGAGTGCTGCTTTTGATCTGAGCTGTTATTGCAGTGAAGCACACTGAATTTTGAATACAGAAATTGCATGGAGTGGCCTGATCCTAAGCACACTCCTGTTCTGTCTGGCAGCCTGTTTGCTGTCAGTTTTTCCTTACTGCTGTCAAGAAGATGCGATTTGCAGGCAGTTGACAGGGCGGGGAAGGAAAGAATTTCGGCACTTAGTGCTCTCCCTGTAAAAAAGCCAACTTCCCATTCACTTAAATTTGCCCTAAGCACCTTTTTAAAATGTGGCTCAATTTCCCTCTTTTAAACTTTTTTTCTGGCACTTATCATCCCGCTGTGGTACTTAATCAGTCCTCGCTGTCGCTGTCTGAATTGTCTGTAAGGATAATTGATGTCCCTGTCTCCAACAAGCTGAAAATTGTTTCCACCCAGCCTTTGACATATAAAGGGACTTTGTTTTCTGCAGTGGGTGTTCTTGTCTAATAGGCAAATGTCCCTGGCTGCAAGGCTTGCAGAGTGAAGTACAGCTGCAGACACCTGTCTTTCCTCTCGGGCCAGGAAAGGTGTGGTGCCCTTTCTGGATTAAAGTTAAAGACTGTCTCCACAGTTCATCCTATGCAGGCACTCGACAAGTTGCAGGGGTGCATTTTCCTCCAAACTGTTTGATCCTGTATTTTCCCAGGGCAGTTTAAAGAATGAAGTCACCCTGTCCAAGGAGCACTTTCCAAATAATGCTGAAACTCACTTCAGAATGCAACAGCCAGGGTATCCTCACCTGAAAGGTGAAATCCTTCAGGTACCAAGAGATCATTGGAGACCCAGGTTGGTCACATTGAACTGATTTGAACTTCCAGCCCTTTCAATGAGAAGGTAATTAGTCTTTTGAACAAATGAGTCAGAAGTTCTCACTGCCACTTTCGAAAGTTTAAACCAGCCTGATGCTGCTGACATGCCTGTGGTGTGCCCATGTGTTGCAACATCTTCTGAACTGGTAGTGTGACTGGGAATCAAACTGCCATGTGCAAGGTTGCTACTACAAAATCTCTAGTAAGGCCCAATGAGGTTTTGCTTTCTGAATTAAAATAATAAAAAACCCCCAACCTCTTTTGAAGTATAAACTGTCACTGAGTCAGCAATATGAATGTCTGAGTCTGCAAGGAGCCCGAGACAACTGTCCACTTCTCATTTATCCTCTGCATCTCAATGCGTGGTTTATGTTGTAGCCTAAAAATGATGCAGCATCTAAGACTGGTGCTGACCTTGGGAGCACCGGTATTTACAAAGGCTGGTGAACAAACAAACCACACAGCTCACTTGGATGCCCACCTTATGTCTATCTTAAGCCCTACAAACCGATTACTAGAAAACTTCCCAAACTTGAACTTTCCCCAAGTTTGACCTGCTGTCTGTCTCATGTACTCAGCATGCACAGTTGTGGCATTTTGTGAGAGCATAAGGACAGAGTCAGATGAATGGAGTTTGTTAGAAAAATAACTATCCCGAGGGGTTTAGTCCTGGTGGTGCCTTCCTTTTACCAAATGGAAAGGGGAATTTTGAGCAGGCACTGCACTGAGGTGCTGAAGACACCAGAGGGCTCTACTGCGAGATGTACAGCTGGATTGCCACAAAGTCCACAGGATTTTGCTCTCCAGGTATGCTCTCGTTTTTGATGAACCACCCTTCAAGGCTGGCTGTTGCCGGCAGTGTGGGCCTCAGTGTTTTGCTTGGAACACGATGGTGGCTCAAGTTGTTCTTGTCTTCAGCTCTGCTATCTTTTATCAGGGTATGATGGTGTTTGGGAAATCTGTGGAAACCTATTGTGCATAGTGCATCTTGTGGAAGGCCCAGGGCTATGCTGAGAAACAAGTTTTTGACAACACTTGATTTCTTTTGGAAAGCAACCCCTTCTTGATGTTTTTGGTGGTGTCATAGTTCTCCTCAACCGGTTTGACAAATGAGCCTACCTGTAGTTGTGTTTGTGCCTTTCCTGTAGGAAACTGATGTTGGAGGAGTGCCAGGCTTGCTTGGACGGGGAAATCTCTTACACGACTTGCCTCGTCTGCTCAAAAATTTTGGCTGCCTCTCGTTGGCATGATAAAGAAATGTGTTCGCTAGGCTTTTATCCTTAAAGGGATAGAATTTCACTGGTATTTTACGCTTAAAAGGATATAAGATTTCTTCATAACCAGAGCACACAAACATATACATTCTCAGTCTGTTGCCTGGGATCTTAGGCAACTCCTAATAAAGCTAAAGCCTAGAAATGTAAGATTAAAATACATTAGTCAGGGATAAATTGTTTTATATTGCACACACACAAAAAAAATCTTAGTATGGATAAGAAACGTGCCCTAAGCCCAGTACAAATCTTACTTGTCAAAGCCTTCGTGATACTTAATGGGTTAACGTCAAGAATGTCTAAGGGCTTTATTGTGCTTGTTTTAATTTCTTGGAAATTGCTCTTCCTGACTCCAGTGATGGCTGGGATTCTTACGTGGCAGTTTCTGCTCGATTTCAAGGCATCTTGACTGTCTGATGAGATGTGTGGAGTGCCTGCCCTCCCTGTCATTTGTTTATAGCGACATCAGGGATTTACTGGTGTGAAAGCCCAGTGCGGGCTGGAGCGGGACTCCAGTTCGTGCGCGTGAGTAACGGCGGGGAGATGTAACAGAGACGTGCTTCACACCGTGCTCTTTCCAGCCGCGGGGACAGAGGACGCGGTGCGCGGGGACACAGCTGGCCGCGCTCCTCCGGCTGCCGGAGGGGCCAGGGCCAGAGTGGCGCATCCCCGCTCCGGAGCGCGCACAGTCCCACCCCGGGGCGCTGCCCGCGGCCCCGCAGCCCCCGCGGGACGCGCCGGACGGGGCCGCGCCCCCTCGCGGCTCGCGGGGCCCCGCGGAGCCGAGGGGCGGGGCGGCCGGACAGGGCGCCGTCCCATTGGCCGCCGGGCGCTGCGCTTTGCATGTCCCCGCCCCCTCGCCGCCCCATTGGCTGCGATCCGGCGGCGCTTTGCATAGCTCCGCCCCCCGCGCCGCTGGCCGGCGCTTCGCTGCGGTGTGGGGCCGGCGGCGCAGTGCAGGAGCCGGAGTGCGAGCGGGAGCCGGGCCGGGAGCGGGGCTCGGCCGGCGGCAGCAGCAGAGCAGCATCGCCGCTTCGCTGCCGTCTGGCGGAACGGGGCGAAGCGAAGCGGCCGGCGGGTCACGCCGCGCCCCCTCGCTGGTCTGTCCCCCCCGCGTTCCCGTGAGCCGCTCCCCGCCCGGGTCCCGCGGGTGCAGCATGAAGTGCGGCGATGGCCCGGAGAGGTAAGACGGCGGTGAGGACGCTGGAAGACCTGACGCTGGACTCCGGGTATGGTGGCGCGGCGGACTCGGTGCGCTCCTCCAACTTGTCGCTGTGCTGCTCGGATTCGCACCCCGCGTACCCCTATGGAGGAAGCTGCTGGCCGCACCTAACTGACTCCATGCACAGTCGGCACAACAGCTTCGACACCGTCAACACCGTCCTAGCGGAAGACTCCGAGGTGCTGGACTGCGCGGGGCAGCAGTGCTCCCGGCTCCTGCCCGACCTTGAGGAGGTCCCCTGGAGCCTGGAGGAGGTGGAGGCACTGCTGCTGCCGCCGCCGCCGCGCCGGGAGCCGCGGGCGCCGGGCGCCGCCAGCCCCGGGAGCCGGGATGCGGCGGCGCGGCTCTCGACGCTGGTGAGCCGGGCGCTGGTGCGCATCGCCCGGGAGGCGCAGCGGCTGAGCCTCCGCTTCGCCAAGTGCACCAAGCACGAGGTGCGGAGCGCCATGGAGATCGTCCTGGGCTGGACGCTGGCGGCCCGCTGCACGGCGGCCGCCCTGGGCGCCCTCTCCCTCTACAACATGAGCAGCAGCGGCGGCGACCGCTTCAGCCGCGGCAAGTCGGCCCGGTGCGGACTGGCCTTCTCCGTGGGCAAGTTCTACCGCTGGATGGTGGACAGCCGCGTGGCCCTGCGCATCCACGAGCACGCCGCCATCTACCTCACGGCGGGCACCGAGAGCCTGTTCCGCGACATCCACGCGCGGGTCCTGGCCGGCCCTGCCGCCCCGCTCCCGCCGCCCGGCCGCCCTCCGGCCGCCGCCGCCGTCGCCGCCCCGGCCGAGAAGGAGAAGGAGGGCGGCGAGGCGCCCCGCTTCACCCTGGAGGCGCTGGAGCAGACGGTCAACAACGACCCCGAGCTCTGGGGCTTGCTGCAGCCCTACCAGCACCTCATCTGCGGAAAGAATGCCAGCGGTGAGTGAGTGCGGCCGCCGGGCGGGACCGGGCGCCACCGACCACCTGTTGCGCCGGGCGGGCCCCCGGGCGCCGGGCGGGCCCCGCCGCCGCACCTGCCGCCGGGGATGGGGTGGCCGCGGAGGCAGGAGCGGGCACCGCGGCGCGGCTGCCCCTGCACGGCGGTGCCCGACGCGGGCAGGATGGAGGGGAGCTGCCGAGCATCCCCCGCCTGGCTCTGCCGGGGCTGCCCGCCCGCCCGCCGCGGAGGGATGCGTATGGGTTTAGGGGGCAGTTGGCCGGGGTGCCGGCGAGGGCTGAGTGAGAGACGGTGGTTCAGAGCTTCAGTTTTCCACAGGAAACGGCAGAAGCGCAGCTGAGCGCTCGCAGGCGAGATCAAACTTTGTTACATATGCAGTGGTTTGGCCAGCGATTGCGTGGTTGGCGCTGAAATGCAGTCTTTCTGGACAGATTTCATTCATGTTGCTGCATGTTTACCCAGAGCCTGACACAGATGCAACACGGTGATGCATCAACTTCCTGGACATTTTTTTCCCTTCGCTTTTTAAACGAAGAATCCAATATTTTTAATAAGTTATCTTTCGATAGAGCAGCATTCCAAAGTTGACGTTTCTTGTTTCAGCTCCCTCTGTTTGTCAGGGAAGGGAAAATGGAACGAGCCGAGTCTCGGGGAGGCAGAGTTAAAATCGGGTGTTTTTTTTCTTACCTTCTCATAAGCGTGCACAGGCACATGCAAACACTTTTATTAAGCTTAAATTCGAAATAGCTGTCAAGCTGAGATGCAAATACTGGAGAAGGGGAGAGGAAGGGAACTGGGAGAACAAGGATAACTGGAAGCCTAGATCACGTCTACAGATAAGCCTTGTTAAGTTGTTATAGCCACAGAGGATGCATTACAGCTAATTATCTATTGTCTTAAGACACCTTCTATACCATAAGAGACCCAAAGGAGGATGCCAGGTGGGAGTGAAAGAAAAGGGCAGATCCTTCTCCCTGGTGTAAATAGACGTGGTTTCGTTATATTCCTCTGGTGGTTTTACCCCAGCAGTGGATGTCCTCCCCAGAGGCTTCACTGAACCTCCCCTTGAAACGCATCTGCAATCGGGGGCTTGTGTTGCGGGACCCTCGTGTGTTATTCCAGCTCTGTCGCAGGCAGGCATGGCTTCCCAAGGAGTGCCACCGTTGTTTTTTTCCTTGAGTCCTGCTACTGTGCCTGTAGGTTTCAGATGGCACTGTGTTGCGTTTCTGACATTGCAGCACTGGCTGTGCAGGCTCCTACTGAGCCTTTCATTTTGTTTTGCGGCTCTCTCTAACTCCCTCTGTATCAGCTCAGTGGATTTAAATGAACTTCATTCTGACCCTCATTTATCTCACTTCTAGGGACTCAATACAGAGTTTTCATCTCCGTTTTGTTGTAGCTTTACCTGCCATGAATCTCCTTGGTAGCTTAGTCCTGACTCGAGCAAATAACGTTTTTTAAAATTTTTGAATCAGACTCTAGCAAGTTGTCCATTTTGTTTTGCCTCTCTCCCTGGGTCTCCCTGCTTCTCATGCAAATGACTGTAATGTTGTTTTGCTTTTTATCATCTTATACTACGTAGTTTGGCATCCTGTTAAATATATTTAGAGTTACAGGTGCAAGCAAGAGCCAGGCCTTTTTTTACTGCTGTTTGTGTTTATTTAGATTTAATCCAAGGGCGTGTTGCATGCTCTTAAGTACTTTCATGGCAACTAAACCAGCCATTAGAAACCTTTAAACACATCAGCCTGTTTCTTCGCCTGTGAGATATATATCTGTTTATATAGTCCTCACCATTTTGATGTCTTGAGTGCTCCCTGGTTAGTTGCAAACGTTTCCTTCTCAGGCACTTAAAAAAGGTGGGGAAGTCTGATGTGAGAGATTATTTGACCTGCTTGAAACTATTGGGGCAGTCTGTGGTAGGAGGCTTGGACTGCTGGAAGCTACATCTCGGTATAGTGGCTTAACCACAAGCTCATCCTTCCTCTGTACTCAGTACTTGAAACACCATGATAACGCAACTTAATAGGTAACAGACTTCCCACATCTATCTGCTCCAGGAGAAGAGACAGGTCTTGTACTCTGGAGGTTCAATAAGTTGGGTGGGCACACAAGCACTGAAATCAGTGTGTTTGGTCCATCAGGTGTAAACGAGAAGTGATGGTGGGTCCTTTCTGGAGGTACCATGGCTGGTATGAATTGCGTGAAGGTGGGGGATGGAAAGCAGTGCAAAAGCAGATTCCCTAGCAGTACCTTGTCTGCAGGCAGGTTTCTGGGAGGAGAGGTGCTGTCTCTCTGGGAAGCAAATGTCAAACCTTTAATAATTTTCCAGGCTAAATCCAGCACCTTAAAGTCCACCCAGACAGTGAAACAGGCAACCCGTGAAGATCACGGGATGCAAGTATGTGAGGAACATGAGTTTGCGCATGATGTAGTTCAAGATTGCTTTAATACAGTCTGTGAACACGAGTGTTGGGGAAGATGGTCTGAGAATCTGCAAGACACAAACCAGCCTTTCAGGGCTTCCTTGTAAGTTGTGGAGAGCGTTTAGTGGTTTCGGATGAGGTTTTTTAGCCTGATGTCATACTCGGTCATCTGGGAAGCTGCTGAATAAGATCAGTATTGCAAGATAACCTTCTCCTTCCTGTAAATGATGGTCACGCTCCTTCAGATAAAGATGTCTGAGCTGGTTCTTTCCATGGGTCCTTGAGCCTGTGGGTTTTCCTTTGGGTACATCTGGCCTGAACTTGTACAACTGCCTCAACGGGAGCCCTGCTCTCCATCAGGAGCCTGCTCATTCCTCTTGCAGGGTTGAAAGCCTGTGGATGAAGGTAGTGGCACTTCTTCATGTGTTGCAGGCAGCAGGACACATCTCCTTGATAAACCTCTTGATAACCTCTTGTGTGGGACAAGGAATAGAGGTGACAAAGGAGAAGCAGGCAGTGCCGTGGCAGCAGTCTACTGGAGTATGCCATCAGCTGCTGGCATATTGACTGAGCTTATCTTTCTGATTATTATATCTTAAAGAATAGGCCTTAAAAGCACTCTGAAGTACTAATTTACACTCCACTCCCTCCCCCACCCCCCTCCCAAATTTTAACATCATGGTTGAATGAAAATTAAAAACTTCACGTTTGGGATTTCACTGACGCTTAAATGTTTCAATTATGAGCTCCGTCTGAACAGCACAGTACACGTTTTACATCCTATAACAGTTGCACAGAGTGTTATTTCCCTTGGAACAGTGGGAGCAAAATACTGTGTGCTCAATGAAAGGCAGTAAAAGCTGGCACCTCTGTGGTTTAAGCAATATTATTTTAGTTTCTTTATTGCTCATCAAACTCTTACTTTTAGGCCAGATCCAAGAATTACTTTGAGATGAATGGGGAGTTTCCACAGGTCTTGGATTCTGTGCCAATCACAGGAGTAAGTCCATTTATGTTGTTTTAACAGGAAATGGCAAGTCCAAGTAGCACAAAGTCACCTACACTGTATTATGAAGGTCGTTTTTTACCTGGAGGAGGAATGGATTAGACAACACTTAGAGTTAAGAAAATGGGGTGTTCCTGTTTCAGTCTTAGGAGTCTCCTTATCTTATGTGGCAGGACTCATGGTGGGAAGGGCAGAGGTCTGGAGGGGCACAGACAGGGAGTTGGGGATCACAGGGAGGAATTTTCTGTGGAGCAGCCAGCATGCACAACTCTGCCTTGTCTGTTTGTATACAGTTTCTAAAAATAGTTATTTGGAACCCAACTGTGTTACTGTGGTTTCTTCCCCTTCTTAATATTATTTAGAGAAGAAGACACAACAACTAGTAAGAAACCCAGGATTAGGTCTGGCTCGGCTGACACGCGTCAGCTAACCTCAGTTTAACCTCAGCCTCTTCTAATCCAGGCGAACTTCAGGGACTCTGAGCAAATGAGCAATACCAATATATTATCACAGCTTAACCAAATCAGTAAATGCTTTTAAGTTTTGATACATATGTATACATATGTGTGTGTATACCATACCCTTCTTTTACTGGAGAGCGTACTGTTACCTATTACTTCTCTGCTTTCTGTTGTAATTGTACCATTCAGGATGCCATTGTGGCTTTAGGGGCAATGTAAAAATCAATCTAAAACTTATTTCAGTGATGATGATAGAGGAATATTTGTGCACGAAATGGAATTTTATGCCTTCTTCTTGGGCTTTGTTTAAACTGTGATTTCAAGAATATCCTTTCCCCCCCATTATATTGCAATCATATTTTTTGCTAGTAAGAAAATTTAAAAAGGAATACAGTTGAAGTTTCTTATATGCACCAGTATGTTGTACTTGGAAGTCTTTGCTGTTAACATTTTTCCCATCTATTCCAGGGCACTTGAATCCCTTGCCAAGAGGTTGACATAAGTGGTGGTGCAACAAAAGATATGTATTTTTTGCTCGATTCTCTTATCTGACAACCTCCCAAGCAAACTTCCACAACCTCTCTGAACAGGTTGAGAATTTGTTCCCTCCCTGCTCCAAGCTGCACAAGGTTGTGCCTGTTTGTGATTTGTGGCCACTGATGCTGGTGAGCTGGAATGGCAGTGGGAAAACTGTGTTCCTTCTCTGTAATGGAGTGAGTTGCTTGAACAGCTGGTGTTGGCAGAAGCGGGACAGAAGGATAATCAGCTCGTTGAAGACCTCTGTTGCCTTGAGAGGACACCTTGAGAAGGAGCAGCGTTGGGATTGGGCAATAGAGACCCAATGGGAGGTAGAGATTTGACTGACTGGCTGATGAATGTTTGTTTCCCTCTGGATGTTTTGATTCATATAATTTGTTTCAGTTATGAGTATAACATTAAAAAAAATAAAAATCCCAGAAATGGTTATACTAGAAGCACCCAGAATAATCATAAAGCTGATGTTTGCAATATGATTATTCTCTTTGTCATGTTGGAAAGTACCTTAATAGCATTTATAGCCTTGGCCACGCCAGGGAGTTTTTGGGCTG